GCGTGGGTGGGGCCGCGCCCCCGCCTGTGCCCGGTAAAAAACAAGGGTGGAAAAGCAGCGTGACTTTGTGCTGTGGAGCAGGTTTTTGGGTTGTCTTTGGGCTCAGTCCCCCTCCCCTCGAGGTCCTGCCACCAGCTCCATGCAGCTCCCAGCACATCCACGTTCCTTCCGTCTGCAGCCTCCAAGCACCAGCCTTGGAGGACCTCCATCCATTCTCCTTATTTCTTTTGCCCCCCACTCTCTGCTGGGTTTGGGGTTAATTTTACCTCTTTTTTCCACCCCCAGCATGTCATATGTGGAACCCTTTGCCTGGGTGACCTCATGTTTGGCAGTGGACCAAAGGAACTGGGTGGGGATGGGAGGTGGCAGAAGGTTCTTCAGGGCATGTGGTGGGGACACCAAGTGCACATCAGGGGACAAATCCAGCCCCCATGTGCTGAGGATGGGGGATAACCAGGACCCGGGTAGGGGGGGGTTGTTATGAGCTGCTTGTGCTGGGACACACCATGTCCTGCCCTTCCTGTTGGGGCTGGGGGGGACACCAGGCCTCGCATGTCCCGTCTGGTGGCAGTGGTGGGACCCTGCAGCTCTTGGTCCTTATTGCTGCACCTTGATGTCCCTGCCCTGAGCACAACCCAGACCCCATAAAGCAAAGCAGGAAGCAGCCGGGGCACCATGTGCCTCAGTTTCCCCACCTGCAGCCCAAGCCCCATAGCTCTGGGTGGTGGCTTTGGGGCATCTCTCTTGCCTCCCACCCTGTCCTGGGTGCTCAGGGAGAGTCCCCAGTGCGGGACCATTGCCTTTAAAAAGGCAGATGATGGTTTGGCAGCTGCTGGTTGGCCTCTGGAAAGGCCAAAGCTGCATCTGCAGGGCTGGAGGTGGCTCCATCCATCCTGCATTCAGGACAGGGGACAGGGAACAGCATCCACATTGCCCCTGGTGGGGATCCAGGCTCATCCTGCCTCCAAGATCCTCCTTTGGAGGGGGTGAGAGCTGGGTGCATCCACAATGCAGGGCTGGGCTTTGGACCCCCTTGAGCTGAGGATTTGGGGGATTTTGGGGACACCACAACCCCAGAATGGGGTCAGAGAGAGAGAAAACCCCATCCCAAAGGGGCTGAGCGCTGGGGACAGCGGGAGAATGAGCCCGGGAGGAAGCAATGCTCCAACCCAGTGAGTTCCCAGCACCTCAGTGATGCCAAATCCCCACCCCAGCTGCCCCCCCCGACACCCACCTCCACCCGGGTGGGGTTTCTCCACGTTGTCCCCAGGAACCAGCCACGGTCCCACCTCTTCTTTGCCGAGCCCATCACTTATAAGGGCTTGTGTCTCACTTGTTTATCAGCGCGGAGCATAAAAGGAACAGACTCAGGAGTGAGTTGTTGCTCCCAAGTGTCTCCACATGGCTTTTCCTTACAATAATTAACCGTGCTGGGCCCAACCATCAGCCCAAGGTCAATTTAATGAAATAAAGCACCTTATATGGCCATAAGGCCAACACACCATCACTGAGCCTATTTAGGGTCTTTGTTTAGGCAGGACCCGCCTCTGAGGCTTCACGGGCTCACTGGTATTTATACCAAAGGCACATCAGGACTCCGTCCCAGAGGAAAGGAGCTCTCGCCTCTGTGGTGAGTACTGCAGCCCCAGCATCCCCTTTTCCTTGCAGGACAAACACCCCAGGAGGGTTTTGGGGTGCCCCAGTGTTGATGGGGTGGCCCCAGTTTGCTTTGCATGGCACAGGGATGGTGCCAACCTCAGCACGGGGGGTTCCGCGGAGGTGACAGGAGCTGGGCTGCGGCCGAAGCGGGTCGTGCTCTTCCAGAAATGCCCATGATTTTGGGGGGGTTTTGAGTGGTTTTGCCTTCTTCCCTCTGGATTTGGCAGCGCATCCACCGGCGGAGGGGGACACCCCTTGGGAAGGGCTGGGGTTTTCCCACTTTTGGGAAAGGATGTGAGGGCAGAGCAGCAAGAGGCTGCCAAGATGGGACCGGATGAGAGGGCATTGTCTGCCTTCACCCTGCCTGCGCTGGGGCACTGGCCGGGCACAGCCACACCGGAGCTCCCATGGGAATGCTGCTGCTGCTGCCGGGCGAGCACGGACGGGAGCTT